CGACAACATGCATAAAAAACAAAACAAAACAAAACCACAAAAAAAACACACACACAAAAAACCGAATCAACTAACAGATATTTCATTCAGATAGATTTATAGAGTTCCAGCATTGTAAATATACTTTCCTGAAAAACATTGTCTTCAACTTTGATTGAAATAGATCAATTGAAAGAAACATTTTAACATCAAGATCTACTCATAAATCCAAATTGTTCCAAAGTTTTGGGGCACAGATGGAAAAGGTATGTGTTCGATCTCCGTGAAGGGAGGTTTTGAAACAAGTATCTTTGTCTATTTGCTGGGACGTTACATCAACCTGGGTTAGCTCTGCCAGGCAAGGTGGAAGCAGCTTGATTTTTATATGATTTAGATTGTGTCTGTTAGGCGTAAAACATTTGTGATGCATCGTGATGAAATCAGGTGCTTGTCAATATACCGAAAACTGAAGAAACTGGCATTTTCCCGCAGGTTTGTGAATATTTATCGCATTTTCGTTTTTTGTCTCAATACTTTTTATGCCCATTAAAGAACATATTTATTTCTGTGTGGATTTTACTGAAAAAAAAAACGTTGGTTGAAGACACAGAAAATGTAAATTTTCAGTTTCCGCAGACTCTTAAGCATAGGAAATAACTCATCTTTGCTGGCCATTTTCTCACCAATTTTACCTCTGAAACCAGGTGACCCCCACATCCTTCATTTGCAAATATCTCGACATCTATTCAAAATAAATGGATATTTTTTTTTCACCCAAAGCAAGACAAACGATTAAACTTTAAGATGATACCAATAACTCTACATGCCCAGAAGTTGACGAGAGCCTGAATCCATCGTGTCGTGACACATTTGTAATTCATCTATATTTCTGTCCCCGTGGTTTTATGCACCCCGCACAATTTAGCAAAATTTGATCATTTTTGCCTAATTTCTGTTTATTTTCCTTTATCATTTAAAAAAATTAAAATTAACAGAATCGCATAACTTCACATTTTTAGGCTCAATTTGCATAATTTCAGAATTTTTCTTGCATAAAACGGCGGGAACAGATATTAATTGAAGATCAGCAGGAGAGTCTTTCCTTTGGTTGCACTCAGAGTTTGCGCCTATGAGCATGAGCTTGAAAACAGTTCGCGAAACTCATTCAAGACGATGCACTGCTGATAATGTGAACAGCTTAACATCGAAACAGGAATTTTGATCGAGTGGTGAAAACCAGCTCACGAGAGCTCTTATTTACAACATACCTGCTTAGTTCAAAAGGAACTCAAAACTTAGGATACCCCC